TTTTATAGAATCTTTGTCAATCGAAGTCTTCATCTGGAAAACATCAAATTCTATGGCTTCGACATGGATTACACATTAGCGGGTAATTATTTCAATAAATATATCTTTGAGAAAAAAGAAATATAAAACAAGCAAAATTATGTTATACTGTTAACATTTTAGAATACAAATCGCCCCAATATGAGCAGTTGGGCTTCAATTTGCTTAAGGATCGTTTAGTATCTTTGGGTTATCCGCAAGAAATCAAGGCTTTCGAATATGATCCCAGTTTTCCCGTTCGTGGATTATGGTTTGATACCTTATATGGAAATCTCTTGAAGGTGGATGCTTACGGGAATATCTTAGTTTGTGTTCATGGCTTTGAATTCTTGAAACAGTAAGAGATGAAAATATTACATTCCTCTTTTACAGTTTATTTTTTTTATTCTTCTTTCTATTCTTCTTGATCTGTTCCCATTACAGTTCTCAGGTCTATGAGCTTTACCCAAACAAGTTTCTACAATTAGATGAGTCTAGAGTTTATGTGCTCAATACTTTGTTCAACTTGCCGGAAACCTATCTGCTGGCGTGTCTAATAGATTTTTTCACTAACTCGCCGCAATTCACCAGAGAAAAGACCGGAGTGAAAGAAGGTGAGCTCACTATGAGCTTCAGAAGTATATTTCAGGATGTCAGAAGCGCGGTAGATTGGATACACCTTCACGGTGATCTGAAAACGAAGACTATTGAGAACTTAGACGAATACGTAAAGAAGGACGAGAGGTTGCCTATGTTTCTTACGAGAATCCGAGAGAGCGGAGCAAAAGTGTTTTTATTAACTAACAGTGATTACGTTTTCACGGACAAAATTATGACTTATTTGTTCGATTTTCCACACGGTGCACGGGTATGTTTTCTCTTATTTACTGTTACATTCTTAAAATTAATTGCTTCAAACAAATTGACGAGTTTATTATACTTGGAAATTAGTACTTTGATGGGTCAATCGATTATTGAACTTTGTAAATTTTTAATAGTAATAAAACTTATAATTATCTAACTATATGATAAATAATTAGACTAATTTAGATTAGGATTAGATTTATGTTTATATAAAATTGTTACAGAGCTTAAAAGATTATTTTTTCAATAAATTGTCAAGATTTCTTACAGTTATGAAACATGTTTTATATTACACACAAAGTATGAATATAAATTTTCTGTTATCTGTATTTTAGCCTGATGAACCACACAGAAATTGGAAAACTTATTTTGACACAATTGTAGTAGATGCTAGAAAACCTTTATTTTTTGGAGAAGGAACCATTTTACGACAAGTAGATACGAAGACAGGCGCTTTAAAACTCGGCACTCACAAAGGACCGCTTCACACAGGTAATGCAACAAAAAAATATCGATATCGATAAACCTGATTTATAAAAAAATTTTTATGATTACAAATAAAATTGTACTAAGTAATTATTGCTTTGTTTAAAGGTGAAGTGTATTCAGGAGGCTCGTGTGATGTCTTTACGGAATTAATTGGCGCCAAAGGAAAAGACGTATTATACGTCGGTGATCACATATTTGGTGATATTTTAAAGAGCAAGAAGATAAGAGGCTGGAGAACATTTTTAATAGTCCCCGAATTGGTGCAAGAGTTACACGTTTGGACTGACAAGTGTCAATTGTTTGCCGAATTACAAAGTCTGGATGTCATGCTTGGAGAAATGTATAAGTAAGTAGCATGGATCAGTAATAAAAACATCATTCATCATCAGCAAGCAAGTATATAATTATTTGTATTTGTATATTTTTCATATTTATTGATGCCATATCATTTACTTCATTTAGAAATTTAGACAGTAGTACAAAGGAAAAGCCAGATATCTCTAAATTGCGCACCTCCATAAGGGATGTTACACACAAAATGGACTTGGCTTACGGTATGATGGGTTCCCTGTTTCGCAGCGGAAGTAGACAAACGTTTTTCAGCAGTCAAGTCGTGAGGTATGCCGATTTGTACGCGGCGACTTTCTTGAATCTGATTTATTATCCCTTTTCGTACATGTTCAGAGCACCTGCCATGCTGGTAAGTCGTATGGTATATAAATCAGATATAATTAATATGTGAAACTATTATTAAAAGAACTGTGATATTTTTAGATGCCTCATGAAAGCACAGTAGCACACGAACAGAGGTTTGTTATGGAAACCCCAATGATAAGTCGTTCTAGGACGTTTAAATTAACAGATGAGGAAGAAGAACATAATCGGCCTTCTTCTGTGAGTATTTATAACAATATCATTATAACAATATACTTGCTTTGGCAAGTAGCTAATATTAATTGATTAATGCAGAAGTGTCTTAATGATGTATTTTTAAAATATAATTCTTTTTGTTTAGAAAAATTTGTATGTGGACCATTTTAATAATCAAATTCCACATGCAAGACCGGAAACGCCACGTAATGTCACGCATACACACGATGAGGACTGCAGCGACGAAGATAGCGATTCACAAAAGCAAGGCAATCAAGTAAGAGTATGTACAAGAAATGCAAATTGCAACTGAAGTAATATTATTCTCAGTGTTGTTTTCCATCTCGTATAATTGATATAGACTGAAAGACGAGTGGAATGAAACATAATACGTAGCAAGTAAAACATATTACTTAAGATATATTTGCGTCTCAAGGAGTTAATGTAGTATGTTAATGTAATATATGACGGTTCACACTGTATTAACAATATTTAGTCTCAAAATGTGTACGGTTATTTATATTTTTTAAAAGATGTTAATATAATAATATGAAGATGAGATTTGGCAATATATTTATATTGATTCTGTGAATAATTTCTGAATATATATATATATATATATATTTAATACTTTTCTAGTTGGGAGACTTACATAATAATTAGCGCACAAATGCTCATATTATGCCCAAATATTTAGGCGTTGAATTACTACACATACTAGACATTGTTAGTATTGTATATGTTGTATATTAACTTCACTTATTATTTAGGCTAAGTATTATATATGAAAAACGTTGATAGTAAAAAAACATCGATTAAACTTATTGTAAAATTTAATACTAGCCTGTTTTTTTAATATGTAGTATAAGTTTATTAACATTAAATGGATGAAATCTAACAAATTCCAAATAAATGGTGCAATTTAGGCTAGTCTCTGTATAGCAAGAATATATTACATGATTATATTCTTTAAATTAATTAGTTTAATATGTAGATAATCAAGTTTTTTAAGGTATAATTAATTCTGATTCAAGAAACATCATCAAATTATTGGATTTAAAAAAATTGTTAGATAAGTCTTTACACCACAAGAGAATAAGACAATATTCAACTTTGTATACGAGACAAATGCTATAAGATATAGTAATAGAAAAAGATCAAATGTAGAACAGAATATTGATGATAGTGTGAGATTAACACACACCTTCACAGAATACTGAAAAAGAATACTGAAAAGTTTATTTCATTTTATGTAATTATAATACTAAAATTAAAAAATGTTCTCAAAAATTCTGAAAATATTCACATATAATTCTCTCCTCTGCTCAGGTGATTTATTCATATTTCTTTACAGAAAAGTAGTGTAATTACTATATGTTAAAAATAATATAAAATTGCAATCTGTACAAATATACATGTATTATACACGAATTAAAAAGTTGTCCTTATTGTATTACTTGAATTATATTGACTTTACAAATATAAGAAATAAGATTATTCTTAACTCGATATTTATTTATAATAAAGTACAACATACATTTCACACACACATACACACATTATAACCATATAAATTGCATTCACATTAGTAAGTCTGCTAGGTATTCCTCAAATTCTTTTTCTCTCGATTTGTCCACATCTTCTATTGGTTTTTCTTTCCAAACATTTGATTGATCTGTATCGACACTCTCGGTAGTTTGTGTTTCAAGCGGATTAGAATCTGTTTCTGCTTTATTATCTGAATCTTGATTACTAGATGTAGCAGATATACCATCGTTGTTTTCGGAATTTGTACCCAAACGTTTTAAAGATTTTTTTCCTTTTCACCTCGCGTTTTTGTGAACAATAATTAAGTTTTACTGAACATTCTGGGCAAAGTCCTTGATATATAAAAAAAAACTTTTTTAATATAAAGTTCTCTTATAATATTTAACTGTTCTTAAACTGAATATGACATACTTAATTTTACTAAGGCGTTCTTCTTTTCACCATGTTCTTCATAGCCAAAATTAAGTTCCCAAGATCGCAAGTTTTCTTTTTCCATACATGTTTTACTACCACATTCAAATTGTCCTTTCCCAGCTATTACTTCTTTTTCAGTTCTCCATCTCAGAGCAACCTACATGTCACACGAACTAGAATAAGTAATCTATCAAAATATTTTTTCTAATTCTAATAAAATGTGATCAAAATATATATACAGTTGTTAAGAACAGAAAAATATATCATACCTTATTATATTTGTAATATGTGAGATCGCATATGCAATATTCCTTGAACAGTTTGTCATAGTATTTTTTAGCCAATTTTGCCCCCCATGTGTCTGGAGTATCATCTTGATCCCACAGGAATTTGTGATTCTCTCTGATGACATCATAATCAGTTTTGTCTCGAGACCTTGAAGTTGATCAAAATGTCAAGTACTACTTGTTGCAAAGTTTACATAGCTACAATTTTTGCATGTTTTTATTTGATAACAAACCCATCACAAGAAAATGTTATAAATATGCATTACAGCTGTATCTTCAAGAAATAACATTTATTTTTTTTAGTTGCATGCTGCTAAGTTTTTTGCAATGAAAATGATATAAATAGTGGAGTTAAAAAAAAGAGAAGAATGATAGAGAACCATATAAAAAAAGTTATACAAAGATAACATTCAACACTTATATAACTGACAGATATGTATAAATACTGTTTAATATAATATATTAAGTAAAGTAAAAAAACAATTTAATTACAGATGATATTGATAAGATAGTAGATGTAATCAGTCTGAAAAAATTACACGTGCAACTTTAAAGGACTACAATTCAGAAAGGAAACATTCGTGTAAATGTGTTCATGTCTAATGTGCAAATGCAATGTGTATTTTTCAATAATTTTGCGAAGCTCCCAACACACACACAAAATAATTTGTAAAATAAAAAATTTAATACGTGTCACGCTTCAATGATGATACAGATTGTCCATAAAGTGTCAAATAGTCGTTTATGAGCTTCTTGTGTCTGTCGTAAGCTGACAAATGTGCATATGCCGGAAACATTTCTGGTGTTAATTTTTGTATTTTCCACACAATTTGTAACCTTTCAGAATCAAATCAGCTGATTTCACTTGTGTATTTATTTTTACTGGTCATACACACCATTTTATTTCCTTCTGGACAATTTACATTGCAACCGATATTTGATCCGCCAGGTATCGATATCCAATGGCATCGTGTATCTTCTAGAGAACAAAACTTCAATAACATGATGTTTTCAGTTTGAATAGTACAGCATTAGAAAAAGACGGATTGATAGTTGTTTTCTCTCTCATGTCCCAGCTGCTCCATTTGACTGACAATGAACGTTCCAAGATAGTATAAAGTGCACTGTAAACATTTACGTAGAATTGTCAATCTATGATAATTTATGACTTCATTAATGGTTCAGTGAACATTCTTCATTCAAAAAATTTTATATTTATTATTGCAATAATTGCAATATAATTGTATTTTATAAACGTATCTACTGTTTTCCAAATAAAAAAATAAAAAGAATAAATCTAATAATTATCTTACTATATATATAATCTATTTACTAAATTTTATATTATAAATATAGTTCAGCAAATGTATGCAAATGTATGTGTAATATAAATTTATCCTTGTGTACTTGTAAATAAATATCAAGACAAGTAACACGTAACATATTTGCTTAATTAGAATGCCAATGTATTAATTACATATAATAAATTTTTGGAATATAATTGTATAAATGTTATTGGTAAATATAGCTTCTAATAATTAAAACATGGATAAAGATTGCAGCTATAACAACATTCTTTTGTAAATTTGTTGTTATCCAATTTTACAATTATCCATGTTAACATAAATTACGATACTGTTTGTAATCGACATTGAATATGACGTGGTAAGTAATTGAATTAATTTATACAAAATATGTTATCCATTTTGGTATTGTCAGTACAAGTTAGATTGTAAGTTTACATAAGATATATATTATATGAGCAGGAATCCTTTAAAGAAGAACCACTTGACACAAAGACCAACTTCTGCATCTCCGCTCTTGTCCCATTCGGAAGATAAAGAATTAGATCATGTTGTTCAAAGACTCATCTAGTATGTATTTTTGACAAAATCTGTTACTGTGTTACATATTTTTGATTATGTATCGTATGATGTAAATAATGTATACATATTTTCTTGCAATTTGTAAATATACTTGAATGCATTAAATTTGATTCTCTTTTCACATAAATGACTTAATTTATATATGGTCATATTTATTTAAAAAAAGATAAATTTAAAAACATTGTTTTGTTCCAAGTGTCGAAAGTGCAATAAGAAAATTAACCAAAGAGATGAAGAAATATATAGGGGCTTTGGAAAATTTGGATAAAGCTGATCAACGATTAAATATGAACCTAATCAGTTGTGGATTGGCACAGAATAATGATGAATATAGAAGAATAGTGGAAGAGTATTCTTCTGTTGCCACACAAGTAAGTTAATACATATGGCATTAATATTCTGTCTTAAAAATATATAATTGACATTGTGATTTTGAATTATTAGGTAGGGAAGAACATTCAAGACGTGACTAGCTTATGTCATAAAACGTTCATAGATCCTTTGAAAAAATTAAGAAATGAATTTGCTTCTATCGCTACTGCAATAACAAAGCGCGAGGAGTTAGTGACTGCATGGAAATACTCGTACAATCGTGTAAAGAAGTTGCAAGAGAAGAAAGACAGAACTGCAAGTCATATCGCGAAATTAGAGAGAGAACGGAGAGCAGAGGAAGCAGCTGCTAAAGAATTGAAGATTATACACTCTCAGTTACTCACAGAATTACCAGCGTTTCTGGAAAAAAGACTGGAATACATTAATCCAAGCATTCATGCTGTGATCATGATACAATTAAATTATTATGGGCATGCAACACAATTATATACACAATTGATGCCGGCTCAATTTTCTGAATTCACATCAAGCACAATAGTACCTGAAGAAGAATATCAACGAACTATAAGCGAAGAACTAAATAGATTAAAAGCACTAACTATAGTAAAAGACCACAAATAACGTAATATAAAGCGTATATTTGAAAAATAATTTTCAGATAAAAATATATATTCGTTAAAAGCCTTTGTTGAAAATAACAATACCAAATAGATAGAAATAATAAGCATTGTTATAAGAATGTTTTTTTATTCAGTGAAATAATTGTTAAATAATTATCATATATTATTTATAATCATCCCTTGGCAGTATGTACATTGTGGAACTCTCACATTTGTGAAAATTGTCTAAGATGGAATCATTCCTTGTTTTCGTTTGATTTGAGAACCCATGCGGCGATTGTGATTGCCATGTGTAGCCTTGCGCACATTTTTCTTATGCCTGTTAGTTAGGACATCTTTGTTTTGCCCTTGCCCTTTGGGATTGCCTTAAATGAAGAATGTACACTTTAAGATTGGAATATATGTGACATGTGATTAAAATGCATTATTTGCAAGCATCTAGTTAGATAGCTCTGTCTCTTCTGTGACTTTATATTGTAATATTATGTTATATTTTATTATATCATTTCAGAGAATACTAAATCAATATTTCAAGTAATATATTTCTATAAATTAAAAATAATTTTTTTATACTTACAAAAGAAGAATAAAATATTTTAATATGTTATATCTTTTAAGGGTTTGATAAGAAATTGTAAATGGTTTGAATGAAATATAATAAATGAAGTATAATAAATGAAACATACCAATTACATCATGTGCATTTTTGCTGTCTTTTGACGATTGTTTTCGCTGTTCAGTTTTAGCACGCAACTCCGCTGGATTTGATACGAAATGATCATTATTTTGTGTTGGTTTCTCATCTTCAACTTCTGTCTCATCCTCAGAACTAGCATTATTTTTATTGCTTGCACGGAATACCTAAATGCAAAATTTGTTGTATAAAAGGAAAGTAAATTTAAAAATCCATAAAATTACATATTAAAACTAAAAATATTTAAACTAACTCTTTGGAATGGTGAAAGGCCTAGCATCTATTTCTGTTGAATCATCTGGTGCACTATCACGAATATTATGGCTGTCATATGTGTCGTCATATTCATCATCATAATCATCAATAATAGTATACTTTTCATAAATATTTCTAGATTTCTTAATTTCAGATTTATCGTTTAACATTTCATTTGCATTTCTGTACTTATCTCTTCTGAAAAGAAAGAAAAATATGTTTGATATAAATCAGAATCAACATTCAAATTCTTCAATATAAATTATTTTTTAAATTCAATATTTACCTTTTTCCCACATGAATCTTTGAATTGTCTATAACATCGTTTGTCATAATATCGAATTTATCATTGTCGAAAATGTTTAACCTTTGAACACCAATGGCCAAATCTACTGCAGCAGATGGTTCCTAAAATAGACAGAAATAAGATACAATTATAATGCAAATCAATTCTTACTATTTTTCTCATTGTAATATAATTCTACTATTTACCATTGGATCCGGTGGTATGTATGGTATTTGCGTGTCGTAATCTTTCAAATTAGGTGGTAAAGAATCTTCAATGACCGCATTTATTACAGACTCAACATTGTAATTATAGTGTTTTAAACATAACTGAAAATTTCAGGACATTATGTTTATGTAAATTTACATTTATAAAAATATCACACAATGTGTTTTGTACACAATGTATTTGGCAAGTTTAGCACTGGTAGTGCTTGTTTTTAATTATATCGATTTATTAATCATAAATCAATACAACAAATATAAGCAGAATTTTTACCTGTATAAAACCTTCACCACAATCGCATAAAATTTCTTTCACGTTTGAAATAAGAGACATTAATTTCTCAGGATCTTCAAAAGTAGATTCTGTCTTATTGTTTATATGGTTCACATCATTGTATTGTTTATCTTGCTGATTGCTTTGAATGCCACTAGTTCCAGCAACAGGTACCTACATATAAGAACAAAATTAAAAAACAAAAAATTTTATACGTTTGCAAAACGATTACTTACGTTTACATAATTAAGGGGTGCATTAGCTGGCATCTTAGTCTCTCCAATTGATGTATACAGCGAGTGTAAGATATATTCACGTTTTATTGTATCACTAATAATATGTAAAGAATTATATAATATATAATATAAATTTTTCTCTGATATATGCTATTGTAATAATTTTTCTTTGAAAAGGATACATTTCAGGACAAAGTTTGGACACAGTTTCGAGATCATCGCCAATTGGGTAAAATTGATGATAATCCACAATAAATTCCTTCTCAGATATAGCATTCATCAATAAATTCAGGTATTCATCTATGCAATTTCTTGTTTCATCTTCTGTTATTGTATTTCTAAACATTCAATATCATTAAGTAAATCATATCTTTAACTACAATATTCATAAAAATTTCATCTTTTTTTTTATTACAAAGAACTATATTATTGTACTTACAGTTTTTTAAAAATATCCAATATAGGTTCATAAAGAATAATTCGAAAAAGATTCAGTATTTCCACTCTGGTTACATCAAGACGATGCTTTAGTTCGATGTATTTTGGCATATTTTCTTCATTATATGCTAATTTGTCTAATTTCTTATACATTTCAGGTATTGTATTTCCATATAACAAAACTATTCTAGCAAACAAAAATAATATAATAGTATTAATATAGCATTTCAGAGATACGAATAAATATATTGCCAATTATAGAATTTATGTTTTGTTAATGAGATGATGATAAAATAAAGTGTAAACTTTAAAGAGAATAAACTCACTTGTTCATAAAGTCATCCGTATGAAATATGGCAATTATTGGACTGTAACTTTGTAATAATACAGTAAGAGTTGATGATATATCTAGAATGTACAGTATTAAGTCTTCTAAATTATATAATGTCATCTCTGCATAATTATTTTCTTTTTCCGAAAGAGCCACTGCTTCAGTTATGTCAACTGGACAATCTTTAAATCTCCGTTCAACATTTTCAAGAGCCTATATAAATAAGTGTAGACTAATTAATAGCTACAAAAATAATAACTCTACCATTTTTACTTAATTTTAGACTATACAGTAATTAATTATTGACATTTAAAAAAAATTTTATTGAAGAATTAATTGTATCTATCAATTTTTTATATAAGTACATTTTTTTTCTTTTTTCTTTCTTTTGACTGATATTTCTTACAACCAGTAGTCAAAGTGCATACCACAAAGAAATTATAATAAATTTTTAAAATAATTTTTAAATCTTTCTCTTACCTTTATTAAACATGGCACAGATTTTCGAAGATCATCAAGATACATTGGTTGCAGACTAAATACACTTTGTATTAGTTTCTTTGTAACTTTGGCATTATCTCTACCATATAGTTGACACAAGTCAAATATAATAGGTATTGTAAATAGATAATTATCGTACAATAAATTCCCATGAAATGGACGGTTCATATATTCTGTCAAACTTTCTTTGTTTGTAACAAGACGTGCAAAGACCATAAGTACATTATAGCGAAGCTTTTCTAACGTTTCCAACATTTCTGGTATAGTAGGAAAATTTTCTAATGCATAAAAAGGTGGAGCTTCTTGTAAAAAAGATATTAATGTATCCATGATTGAAGTATTATAAACAATATTGGACCAGAACCTAGATGAAACAAATCATGTAATAATCTTTTAAACATTAATATTATAAAAAACTATATAACTGTAATATTATACCGATAAAATGGAAGATGAAGTAACCAATTTAGATCTTCAATGATATAATTTGTAACCTCCATCCAGTGTTGTTTGGTACCCGGAATTTCAGAACCATCGTCATTATATATTTGTGGCATTTCATAATGTAATACATAACGTTTATCTATCCACCTCGAATTCTAAAATTTGATATTTAACAATATATACAAATATATTAGAATATTAAATATCTGCTTATATATACGCAACTATTAGAGAATATTATAATATAGTCAATTTTGTTAGATATTTTGATAAATAAACATATTGCCAAAAATTAACTTACCAGTGCATTTATTGCAATAACCATTCCATCATTATCCACTTTTAATTGCAAGCTCTCTAAAGGCACACCATGAGGATTCTGTTTAACAAATAAGGATCTTTAGAAATTATGTATAACGTTGATTACATTTTTTGCGAAAAAATCTCATTTTGTTTCTCAAAATTATGTCAAACAAAAAAAAATTAAATACCTCGTAGAATTCCATGGTATTATATCACGCATTGTCCGTTAGAAACAATTGTATTTGTTACAGATTGTCAGTTTGACAAATGCATTCGGTATGATAAAAGAGCTTCGACAGATATCTGATAAAATTAGTGATAACTATAGATGATAGATAAACGAAGCAAAGCGTACGATAGATTATCAATCAATTCACGTTCAAAAATCAAATCACAATGTAAAAAGCCGGGCAATCCCAACTTATTCTATACGCTTCGTGTCATCACATATCATATACTATCTGCTAGAAAAGGTAACCTGTCACATTTACCGGTGCACAATGTATTTATAAAGGTATATCCAGTTTTGCATAACCGCATAATGCATTATCACACGATGCATACGATAAAGAAACGATCAATCATATATCTGATTTAAATTCATTTTAGGCATGTGATTAGTGGATTTTCTCATGTCTGTTCATTATGCAGCCATGTCATTTTATATGAGAATCTGCCTTAAGACAATGTATATATATATCTATTTCCTTTCTTTATTACATATCTATTTCATTTGTAGTGCAGAAAGTGCAAAAATGCAGCTAGTTCAAAGAATAAATTTCTGAACTGTTGGAGTAACAGATTTATAATCGAAAAATGTTCGTATTAAAAATTCTGTATATTATTATTACTTTAACTGCGTGCATCGCAAATGACAACGAGTTCGAATTTTGTGATGCATCTGATGAATATGACGAAAATTCGGAGAAATGTTCTATTCGGAGACATTTTACACAAAAACGGTTAGAATTGTTAAGAGTTTATCTGTAACCGCATTAAAAAAAAGATTTTAAGTACCACAACAATTTTTGAACTTTTAAATTTGTCTCATTTAGCTCTCCAATAAAATTTACAATTTATTGTCATTTTTATTTATAAAAACTTACAATAGGCTTTTTTTTATAGTTATATCCTTTATGATGTAAATCCTCCAGAAGGTTTCAATCTGAGAAGAGATGTATATGTTCGTGTTGCTGTTTTTCTAAAAAGATTGGCTGAAAGGAACAAGGAATTTCAATGGCAATTGGTTTTACCACCATGGGGTAAGATATGGATTAGAAATATATGTATTTATATATTTTATAGAATATTATATATTCCTATATCTATTCATCTTTCTGATTTAGGTAATCTGTATCATTGGCGAAGTAAAAATGCAGGATTACAAGAGCGTCTATCCTGGAGTACCTTTTTTGATATTATGAGTTTACAACAATACATACCAGTCATTGAAATGTATAAATTTATGGAAGGTATAACACTACTTTCTTTACATTTTTAACTGCAAAGATATTGAACATTAATGCATAAATTGTTTGGGATTTATTTTTCAAGTTGTAGTAAACTTTAAACAATGCTCAAAACGTTTCTAATAAGCCAACATTGCTAACATTTAGCTCACTGGATTTTTAAATGTATATCAAATAATTTGCTTTGTTAACAAAAGGAAAGAAAATAAATATAATATCATTAAATATTAGTTCAGGATGTGCTGTGATGTAAGTTTTATCTGATAGCAAACATCAAATATTTTTTTTTATTTTTTATACACTTGAAATATATAGTTTGAATAATCTATAATGCATTAATATATTGATATCTTTTCTTTTTAATTTAATATTATAAGGACTTTTAAGATGTAAATAATTCACTTGACTTTATAACAGTCTCCTTTTAGAATACTCATTTGGAAGCAAAAAAATTCAACTTGATTGCTTATATGTTCTGCAAAATGATGAAGAAATGTTCAGGACAGGTAGATTTGAAGATAAAAATGAAGTGGTGGATTGCAATCATGATTCTTTGCGATACTATAAGTTGGAACAACATTTATACACTGGTCCATTCTGGGGATACCATAATATTACAACTCAGGATGTAAAATGTATAACATTTCATGGTATGGCATCAGATCTTTATCAGAATCTTAAACCAACACAGTACAGGTACAAGATACATCAAATATTGCAACTTGCTTTTGTAATGATCTTATAGAATTTAGTATTTTTTTTACTGTTTACAGATCTGTAATGTTTGATCATATGGAAATTGCTCTGCACGACAAATATGGTTCTAAAGAATATTGGGAAGCCAGGCGCAGCATGCGTTATAATTCCGAGTTGTATAATATTGCGAGAAATTATAGAAAAACTTTTTTGAATTCCACAGATGAGAATGATTACACTGAACGACCTGCGGATTGGACGAAAGAAAAAGTAAGTTATAACAATTATATTTTTTTCTTAATTGCCGATAATTAATCGTGCTGGTTATTAATTTTAGAGTCGGCGAAATGCAAAAGGTGGTCCATATTTGTCGGTTCATCTTAGGAGACGCGATTTTATCATTGGCCACAAGTCGTCAGTGCCAACAATAAAGGATGCTGCTTCTCAATTACAAGAAAAGATGGAAAAACTTGGACTAATGGTATTATTTGTGGCTACAGATGCAGAGCAACACGGTACATGCGTCTTATAAACTTAAGTTTGAAAAACTGCTGCTGTGCTAAGAGCCTTTTTTAATTAAATTCTTAGATAAAATTGAAATCGATTTAATAAATTGGTAATTAATACAAATTAATGCTAAATTAATACAAATTATGATTAAAAAACATATATAAGATATAAAAATTAGATAATAATTAGATAATGCATTTTTAGAATTTGAAGAACTGAAATCATATTTATCTCAGTACAAAGTCACGAAATTTGTACCATCTGATTATATAATAGATAAATTTAAGGACGGTGGAATTGCCATCATTGACCAAATAATCTGTTCATATGCCAGGTGAGAATAATTTGCACTTTCTATGTTATAATAACGATTAATTATGATTCTAAAAATATGGGCCTCTTTTTTTCACAAACTATTCTCTATAAAGGCAATTTATTAAAGTTCTATGTATTTTTTGTTGTTGTTTTTTATTAGGTATTTTATAGGAACACATGAATCAACATTTACATTCAGAATACAAGAAGACAGAGAGATTATTGGTTTTGCATCAGAAACTACATTTAATCGATTATGTAAGAGCAATAAGAAATGCGCGGCAGCTGGACAGTGGCAGATTGTCTGGTGAAACAATAAAAAATGTTAGTAATTTTAGTCTTTTTTAATAGTTTTTATATATGCGATATTGCATACAATAAACATATAAATACATATCCTTATCTCTTTATATATATATATATATATTATTTTTTTTTAATGAAAATAATTAGTACTTAATAAGTTATTTTTTTAATATCAGAAATTTTAAAATTTAAATTGAATTTTATATCAACATTGAATGATTGTCACGTTTAATATTCGCGCCAAATCGACAATATCGATACTCTAAAAGTGCAATATCACTCGATTGTGAATGCGTTCATGAAAATACACCATGAAGGATAATAGTTCCGCATTTTACCGCTGCATTTTTTGCGCGATATTTAGTGTTTAAATGTAAATTTTATCCGTGAAAATATATCGCGAGTGTCTTTTGTAAAGTCTTGGACATTGTTGATAAAGCGTGGTAAGAAATATACAATCGCTGATATGAAATAATATATGCCAATTCAACAAACAAATGTTGCTAACATTTGGTTATCTGGAAATATCGAAATTTTTGCATCAGCGGTCCATGTAAAAATGGATTGCACAGCCATATTTGACCTACCATGTTATTAGCCACATATTGCTATGCAGAAATGAATTTCTGAAAAATTATCGCGAATATTTTTTTACAAAATGTCAATCCTTCCATACAATTCTTATTATGCGCCAATATCGCTCTTTTAGTGTTGATTTATTTCTGTATATTCAGAATGCATAAAATTCATATTTTTTAAATTATTTTTTTACTAAGCTGCGTCGTAAATATTAATAGATAAAATTTTCAATAAACAAACAATAAACATAAATTAAAAGAAATATTCTGTAAAAGTAATATATGCATTTATATTATTTTTCAGATTTAAACACTGTGAGATAATTATAAAAAATCTACATAAAGATGTTATATCCAGCGATTATCTATGCTTCTTTCTATCGTGATAAAGGATTCGTGGCAGGGAGCAACAATTAAAGAATTGTGATGAAAAAGCCGCATTAAGAAGAAGGTGAGAAGAAATGAAGGTATATTGTGGTTTTGTTAACAATTTTGAACCGGATGACTTGAAACAGACCTTGGAACAATTCGTGCGCATAATCCCCTCATAATGCACCATCGGTGTGTCATCAGGCCTATATTATGATTATGGCAAATCGCCTTTCTACGCTGGTGAAAATTACCGTACTGTTCACGTTTATGCAATTGCGCGAATATTAATTGCAGGATGCAGTCGCGGCTCAATAACGGAGAATAAAGCGATTGAATTAAATCGTTACGTCGTCTGTGTAATCCGTCTGATTGCAGACAACGCGTATCGGTGAACTAATCATCCGTAAAATTTGATAGGAAGATTATCAGCCGTTGACGACTTTCTCGATCAGTTATAATCGAGTATAATCAAGTTACTGAGTTATTAATTTGATTTTTCTAACGCCAAGATAACGAGAATACTTTCCGAATAATTAAAGACTTGGAATAATGTTTAAAAGATGTTTTTTGATGACCGAGATAATTGATTGGCATTGCAAATATCATTTGTTTCTAATTATTAAGTCTTTGCGAATTGAAGCGAGCACAATGAGGAAGACGATCAACGAAAGCGTCAGACTTACGTATCGACTTTCGTTATTAGTTAAGAAAAAGTGAAAGCGTGCGCAATTGCTCGTTTAATTACACTTTCGGATCAGGAATATTTGTTAATATTATTAGTTTGAGTTTAAAAAAATAAAAATTTTGCATAATTATGATGCTAAATACGTTAAACAAACTAATGAAATCTTTGGCACTTAAGCACTTTAGTATAATTTATTAAATTTTTGTTTTTAAAAAAAAAATGTTGCCTCATACATACAAATTCTATTTATATTATTGAATTAATATGAAATGTGTATGAAGTTGACATATTATTTTATGGAAACTCATTAATTATTGAGAATTTTGGCTTTATATTTAATAATTCTGGAGTTCCTAATGGATTAAACTAATGGTTCTGATTATATAAATCAAAGGGAATGACTTAAGAACAAATTGAGACGCAGTGTGAACCTAGTGTCTCAGTTTCTTCTAAGCCAATCTTTTATTTATGACCAGAACTATTTATTTAATCTGTCAAGAATTCTAGAACTATTCGAAATAAAATTAGAACTCTCAATAATTAATGAATTTCCATGAAATAATAAGCTTCACGCACACTAATATAAAGGAAATTAAACTTTATTCTGAACAGTAATTTTAATAGTTTGGAAATGCCGTTTCAGGAAATTGAATCATCTTCCAGCGTTTTTAGTTAGCACTTTTTTCTCACTATATTTGGCGACATTAGATAATTGGAAAGTACGGTGTATTTTAGTGCATTACAGCGTGATATTATTACAATGCAATGCGGCCACGATGTCGACGGACGCGTTGGCGGTATTATAATTATTTGAGCAATTACCTTAGTGGCAAGAAAGAAATCCACAAAGGTGGCAGACTTGAAGCGCGCAAAAGTACGTTTGAATGTTCTTCTTGCGATAAAATTATTGTTGTTTAACATCACTTAGGTTTATTTCGTTAATAACTAAGACAAACTGGCGTCCTTTCACCTAATCTATCGGCAAAATGTTTCAGCTGCTGCTGAGATACAAGATTTGCTGATTCTGTTACATATTAAACATGATATGGATAATTATAGCTAAAAATTATAGCCAAGTGAAAGTCATATCAGTTTACTATATCAACAATTTAATGATGAGCATAAACTTAGCTATTTTATAAGTTTTATTTAAATACTATAAATTATCAATATTATAATATTATATCTACAAAGAAAGATCATAAGCTAATATATATCTCACTCAAACTACACATTTCTCATCATACAGGATGTATCAATGTAGCAATGTAGCAATGTTGCGAATCAGTGTAGCAATTATCTGCATGATTCAGCAGGCATTGCTGGTAGTTTGATCAAAGAATCTATTCTTAAATTTCTCAAATCAATTTTATTGTTTGAAGTCGTTTGGAATCAACCGATTATCATTTATCCATCTTTTTACAGTTTTTGCGTGCTATTAAAAAGATCTTCCCGTACAAGAAATCGCATAACTCTTGCATCGTTAAGACCGCTTCCGCTCCCTTTCATTCGAGTGAAACGCTTTTTAACGAGGGTTCATACGCGCACGTAGAGGAAAGCCTCTTTTCCCATACATGATACTCATGTATCCACACAATACTTTTCACGACAAGGCAGATGTCTCATTCGTGATAAGCTTACGGTCATTATGTTGTCTTATGTAACGCGGCACTTAACTGGTACCCTCTGATTTAAAAAAAGCGTTATAGTACCGTCATTTGATATTAAATTAATCGAAAAGTCACGTAGTATTTAACGTTATATAATTATTTTATTTGTCTCTTTAAACAATTTTTCCTGTTCTTGTAGAAAATTTTTCTTATTTTAATTTATACTTTTTAATTATTAGTACTATAACGCATCTAACAAATTATGAAAATTATCAAATATTATATTACTTTACATGAATATTGTATTACATTTTTGCAAACATCTATAAAAAGACCTAATGTCTCCGATAATTTTTTTTGTCGATAATGTTTAACATTAATTCATATAATAATTATCTAATATACTTTGTAGCATACGTTCAAAAAATATTTGAAATCTTTACTTCGTGAGACTGATTTATTTTCTTTGTTTTATTCATGAATTGAGGGCAGGTGATTCCTCGAGAATTTACGCGCCTTGAAGAAAGTGATAGCCGCGCGTCGTGCTAAAGAAGAAAGTTCGCACGTCTGCATGTATACATTATATAAAACAGTATTTATTGTTAGACAATATAATAATTCAATAATGATTACTGAAAAAAACAGGAAATAGAAATGTGTGTGTAAAAAATTAGCGAAAGATATTGATAAAAAAATTGATGGAAACCGCATTACCGCAAGGACATAAATATAGGCATTATGATACAGAGTAAAACATCGCACGACATTACGCGTATAAATTGGCATCTATAAAATAATCTGATAAAATACTAAGAGGCCAAGTAATGAAGGAGTCTGAGATTGCAAATCTTGCGAAAATTCTTGTCCCTGTTTAATTATTTATATTTTCAGATGTCGTAATGTAGCTTGAAAACTGCACGCAACTACTTAGCACGCGTGGTAGCACAGAATGCAAATGATGGAAAATTATAGATATTATCACGATAATTTTTTATCACAAATACCAGTCTGCAAGTAACGATGTAAATAATAATAATCTATTTTATTATCTCAATCGTTGTACATAAAAACAAGTAGCTTTACATGCATATTTTCCGTCTGGATATATCTTCATAATATTGCCGCTAGCAAAAACTAAATTATATATTTTATCAAATAAAAATTAATATCTAAGGATTTAAATTATAACACTTTTAAAATATTGAATCAAGGATAACTGAAAAATTAGGGTTTATTGCGTGCTTTATAAAATGCAGTTGTAGAATTATATCGTCCGCTATCTTATATATCAAAACTTATGTATATTGTCGTGTACTCTCTCTCTAATCTTATCATTCATTTAAATTCCAGTAGATTTTATTTTTTAATATACTACAGATTTTTTAAATTCTTAAATTTAATTTTTAGGCGCAGTAAGTGCTGTGAGGTTCGTTAAAATCCTGAAATCGAGAAAGTCGCCGCATTCACGGAATTTATCACCAAGATCAGCAATGATCTGTCTTCGTATCAAGCCGAGATCAAACGAGATTCGATTGTCACACGATCGAGAGAAAGGAAGATCTACTGGACGAACGCGTCATCGTCGCCTGGGGCGATCCTGAAAGGATATTGCTTCTTAATCACAAAGAGCAACGAAACATGATGAAATATCGACGTTGATCCAGCAAAGTAAGGTACGTATTTATATGATCTTGATTCCCTAATAACATCGCCGCATTACATATCATCATTAGTCATCTTTGGTTGCACGGACTTGGTTCTCGCTCGCTCGCGTCATACGCGAGCACGTTTCGGTTGCTTCATATACTCCGAGCTCTAAATACGATTCTAAGATCTATTTTTTTTTACTTGTAATGATAGAAACTTTCGTAAGGCTTTTACACTGACTCTATATTCATGATGATATAAGATCGTGATTTCTGCATAATAACAGCCATCGATATTCATCTCACATTATTACATCATTTATTACGATGACATGTCTATGTGAAAATCACAAAGTTAACTAACTTTTTTTAACCAATTGATGAGAAAAATTATTTGCAATGTGTATTAAGTATGATAAATGATAAAAGCATTGAATGCGCCAGACGTAATACAATTTTAAAATTATATAATGTAAAAGCAGGAATACGTAGGTTTAAATAAGTAACATTTCCGTGAGCGCGCTGAGCTGGGAATAAAAAATGCAGCATTATCGGAGGCAGTGCACGAAAAAGGCGAGCTGTAAAACGGTACGTCGCGCATTTACTCGCTCTCCGGAACGCCGGCTATGACGGATTCATAATGAATCGATATCCATTCGAGCATCTCGTTTAATCTCGATCAGCATTAAGTAATATCGCGTTGACGGGTGGGTGACGCGCGTTCCATAAATTGCTCGTGCAACGCTTCTCTCTTCCGATCTTTCGTTCGCAATAAAGAAAGGAATAGAAGGGGATTTTTTTACGACGTTTCTCGATTACCATCGCAGTAATTCCGGTCAAACAGGCTTTCTTGCAAATGTTTCTCGGTATCCGAAAGTTTATTGTAATCGTAACATATAACTTCCTTGACATACGCATAATTTTGCATGTGGATTTCGTGAAATTTTTACAAAGTAGATAAAATACTTGTAAAAATGTTTTGGTAATTTAAATTTAGGAATATAAAACTACATTTAAAACAAAAAAGTTATTAAAATGCAGGCTGCTAGTTGGAAGACATAATTATATGTGAATTACAATAATTTGAAATGTGCATTTATAAAATACAATTATATTTTTTATTACACACAGATGATAGATATAATTTATAAAATGTAACTCTTGCTCTTGTGACATAAGTTTATAGTTCACCAGACTGAATATCTTTTTGCTGAGGTTTTATATTTCGAAGTACTTTGCTCCACACGCATGTGTTTTAGGAATTCTCTTTAATTCTCGATTTGTGTATCGTGTACACAAGAAAGATTCTTTCTTTTTTATTCTATTCCGATTGATATCACAGCGTATCTCGCCGGAGGAAAATGAAAGAAGTAGTGGGTTCTTCTTTGTTGACGTTCACCATCCTACCTGGTGACCGTCTCCCACCTGACGGATCGCGAGAACTCTTCCCGCGCCCGGAGAAGTAAAACTCTCGAACGTTTTCCGATCTCCAACAGTCCCGAATCCGTCCTCGTCGACGTGTGAACTCGTTAAAGCTCCACAGCTGGCAGCTGGCGCGAGATCGGCTCAGCCTCTTTCTGATCTCGCCTCTCTCTGGATGCAGGAAGAAAGGAAGCGTTGGCATTCAATGCTGATATCCTACAAGGCGTGAGCAGCGTTTCTTCCGCGACATTAGACAAGAGATACCGATAACATCGGACAGGCTAAGACCGACGATAAAACAATAAGGGGGCGTAATCCTCACGCTTGAACTCACAGGCGGGATCATTAAGAGGAAAGCGAATCATTTTTCTCACGAGGATCGTCGACTGAGGCAGATTGCTGAAAGCAATTCAAAATCGTCAGGGGATTCTGATGTACCCGTGGTAAAATTCTCGTAGAAGAGTACAACAGGTGCTTCGCCGTAGTGTGAACATTGTTTGAGAGCCAAGACGAGTATTATCCTTCACGATGAGGCGAAGATACTTGTGCTTTCTGTGGACTGCGTTAATTCTGCGACTGGACACCTTCGTGACCGCCGAGGCTGATCCTGCAATATTGAGTGGTCCTGACTTGCCCCATCTTCAACAGGTAAAAACAAAAATTATAACGAGTAAAATTGTTTTATATATTTTGTCATTAAATAAGCAAAATTAAATAAAAAAGTGCATATAATTATTGCACAACCAATTGGAAGTGATACAAAATTTCCGGTTGTGGTTTAATATTTATTATTTATTTTTAACATATATAGTTTAATATATATTTATTTATTTTAACTGACACAAATTTAGTCGAAAAATTTAGGGAACTGTCGAACGTGACGATTTGCGAGAATAATTTTTATTTTCTTTAATAAAATCTTTCGTAGGTATGACTTTCTCTCGCGTTAAAAAACTTTCTTCGATCGATAAAAAATTTGCATAACGGAAGTATGATAATGCGAGATGAAGTTTTATCACGAGATGTTTTAAATTTATAGTAATTATAAACGTTGATCTCTTTCCTGCTCTTGCTTCGATTTTATTATTATGAATGAAATAATGCACTATTAATTCATAGTTTTTCGTATCAACTTTCATTTTAATTTACGAGATAAAAAAGATGATAGGAAAATGTTTACTCTGAGAATAAAATACGAAGAATTTTATTCTCAAAAATGCATTAATTGCAAAACTATGAGATAAAATTTTAAGTAGAAATTACTTGAAACTTTATAGTACATTAACTTATGTATCTTGACCTAGAAATCCTTCGGCGATGAAATCGGTGGTTTCTATACCCGTTTTAAAATCGGTAGTCGATAATGATATATACGCAATCGTAGGCCAAACGATCTACGAAATACGTTTAGAACTATCGTTGACACGGTACTTATTCAAATAAATATACAGACCGCAGAAACTCACGGTGAAAGTAATTGGCTCATTATTCTTACGTCTTAACGCCGTGAAAATTTCGTCCGTGAAAAAGTCGTAAAATTTGCATTAACATAGGAAGTCTGCTATTACTCCTACTGTTCATAAAACATTCAAGTGATAATTTAAAAATTAACATAAATTATATAAATAAATATAAAATAATATATTTATAGATACTTTTTATAATAGTGAAATGGATAATTAGAATAAATAGAATTAGTTTTACAATTTATGTTAATCGTACAATAATGATATTTAATTTTAGTTGTTATTAATATAGTTATCTATTTATTCAGAATAGATTGAATAATTGCTATAGTTTTTGCTCAGACTCGAGCGGATCATAAAGGTTCATCATTAATCTCACGCGCATTTCCGCAATACATCTTTCAATGTTTGATTGGATTTGTTTCGAAATTTCTCGAGAGATTCGACTTAATGCGTGCACTGCTCCGGGCACATAGATTATTCGAGCGCAAGCGAGTATGCAGATTTAATGAAATTGCCGCGCCTGACGTAATCAGGCCGTTGCCAGTGCGCCCATTGCATCGCGAATCCTCCGGCTATCTTTTCCGACGATCGCAGTGAAATTTCACTGGCGAGACGGTAACCATGTACAAAAAAAGAATCGTTCTTTGCGTTAATTACACTTTTCATCCGTCTTTTCTCATCAGGACGAACATGGAGCTCATATTTTACAATCATCTAGATTTATCTTACTATTCATCGAGCGTTGAGTGTTATTTCTACCGAAAATAGAGCATGCAACAAGAATTTTGCATTTATAATAAAATTCAGTTGATATTAGAAGAAATAATATAAAAATATTTTTAAAAAACAAATATAAAAATGTAAAGGAAATATTATATATAAATATATACAGAACATTACTGCATTAGTTACGTCACGAAAAAATTCTTACCAGTAAACTAACCGCACAGCACGTAATAAGTGCAGTAACAACTTTGTAAAATTTTATTGATACACAGGATTCGGTGGTTAATGATTGGAAAATTGTCATAAATTTATTAAAATATCTTGTTTTATTCTACTTCCGTGTAAGTTCTTTTACAAAAAGATAATGCTCACGCAATTATCCGTGTATCAATTTGAATACTCTTCTATCTACTCTTAGATCTCTTCACTCAATGATTACGATATGGAACTTCGAAATGCGAGATCGTGACAACAGAGACTGCACGAAAGTAGAACCGAGCGAGTGCTCACCCACTAACAGAGTGACTCTTGACCCTCTCTCCGCCTTCTCTCTTTTGTGCCGCCTCTTTCGCTCCTGCTACATCTGTACCAATATCCACTCCGCCTATCTTTCTCGACAGCATCTCATTCTAATTGCTAGGTTTCTCTCGAGAATCGGATAAGTCGAGAACGCAAAACTGTGTATTTCCGCTTTGGCAAAAAAAAGAGCTCATTGCTCAAAATATCAGGTAACCGAGTTCGTGCAATTTTGCTGATAATACGCTTCACGAAAAATTGCACAAACCTTGTTGGTTACCTAATACAAGTACAAATTTTAATAAGAAATATTTTAGGAAAATTTTAATCCTTAGATTAATTATCAATATTTATCTCATAAACGTGAAAAAAAATACACAGAGAAATTTTAACGTTTTAACATCTCAGCAGCTCAACGATTCAATAATTTTTTATATAAATATAACGTCTATCGCGTTGTTAATTTTAATCAAACGCTCTAATAATATTTTAAGTCATGTGTGACGTATATGTTTTCCTAAGCATCAAAATACAATTTAATTTTGACGATTTTTATATCGATAAGATGGGCAATGTTGCTTAAGTAGCTTCTCTTTATTTAATTGGTGGAGGAAGGCATCCACTTGAAAAATAATTGTTGTTAATTAGGGATATATTGGGAGTGGATACAACGACCCAAACAACATGGAACGTATCTGATCGCGGAACCTTTCACTCAAGCTGCTGAGAAAACGTTCAGGTTTCCATGTACGGTACGAAGAGTGCTCCGTGCATGTGTAAGAGCAAATATGAGGGACATCCAGTAGCTTCCGGTTCTCCTCTTCCGAGACGCTTGTATATCGCGTACAAAATGTATACATCGCTGCGTATAAACTGAACTTTCTAATGTGCAAACAACGAGGAAAACATTTGTTTTTATCCGGGAAAAAACGTCCTTAAGTGTATAAACATTCGATAGAGAGGTGTGATGTGTTTTATTTGACAATGAATAGCATAATGATTATTCTTCATTTGTATCACGTTTGCATTAGCACTTGTACTTGTGTGTATTCGCCATCATTATCACTTCGTAAAATAATCTTATTTTTAAACGAAAAACTTAATTTAAAATTTAATTAAAGGATTAAGTATATAAATAAATGTGTATAGGAAAGATTTCTTTATGTATAAAATACTGTGCAATATCGCCATTATGCAACATTAGATAACGCTAACGGTAGAAGTGAAAAATTAGGGGAAAGAAATATTTCGCGGCTAAAAAGCAATCAATTAAAGTGCCCCAACGCTCCGCGCGGCTTTTCCGCAATTTACATAAGAGGTGTACGATTTTCACCGTTCTATTTTGATCTGCCCATAATCCTTCGCATCCGTCGTGTAGTTGCGTACATCGCGCGATTCGCGCAACATTACAATCCTGAAATAAAAATTGACCAGCAGATTTACTAGAATAAGTTTACGTGCGCGTGATTATAGACGTAAATACGGACGTACTTATCGCCGTTTTGTAACGATTTTCTGGCACGCTGTAGAAATCGTCTTCAAATCGCAGACATATGTGGCCTGGTAGCCATGCAAAAGCGATTTTCCCTCATCATTCGTCTGTTCAAACGGTGCTAGTTATTGCGGTTGCTCCTTTTATTTCATATCTCTTTTTTTTCTGCCGAGGGGCACATTTAGAGCGTATCAAAAATGAGTACGCATACAGTAATAAAAAATTTACCTTATAAGTACGATACGCGCTGCGAAACGACGTGCGTTTATTAAAATATTTTCTATTGAGATACATCACATTAGCGTGATCATTAAACAAAATTGATTAAAAATTATTTCAAGGTACATTCACGGACGATTTCAAGCAAATTATGTGTAAAGATAGTGAAATAATTCAATTATGAAAATAAGTCGGCTTGATATCGCGAAATGTTGAACAAATCTTTATTTATAAATTGATATAAATATGTCAGAAATATGTCATGCTCGCGTTATCAATTTTACTCGGGAACACGAGGTGAGATCGAGGCGACTATAGAGGACAATGGGTGAAGGTGAAGGATGCTACGTGATCTCTCACTTTCTCCAGAAACCTTCCTTTGAGAATAACGACAGATCAAGAACGGATATGGTATGGTGACGCGCGAACAAGAATTCTTTGTTTTGCTGCGGAAGGTGAACAGGTGTAATTAATTTCTCGGGCGTGGAAATTATGCAATCTGTTATTAGCCGGAAATCTTGTGTGAATATTCTAGAGTAAAACAGACTGCGAAGTACGCGTTGGAAAAAAAAAAGAACTGATATTAGCGATTACCTTAAGTGAAAGCTCATTATTTATTTTAATGAATTTAATTACATACAATGCATTTATATATCGCAAAGTAACTGCCGGTCAAGCTGATCATATCGCGCCATTGTTAATTAATTAAGTCATTGACTAGATTGCGTATTAAAATCTCAATAATGTGAAGCAAAGTAATGCGGAAGAAAGACCGGCTTTCATTCCGCGCAAATATATACGCGTTAGACACACATTCGAGTATTGAACATTACGAGAAGCAATTAAGGACACAATTACACTGACGTAATAAAACAACGACGGAACTGCGAAGTAGAGAACTGTGTCAAGATTGCTTATAGTGAATAAACGAAATCTCTCGTCAGTCTATTTAATTAAACTAGATTGTTGTGTGAAGCGAAAGGGGATGTCATTCTGCATAACAGTCCAAGTTATTCAGAATGCCGACTATGGAAACATTTTCTCGTCCAGTCAATAGCTATCGTAATTAATTTTAATGAATTAATTTTAATTGAATTAATTTTAACGGCTTTTGATGAAAGCAATATTTTCCGAAATAATAAATTTCCATAAATTATTTTTTTATATTGACTCTGAAAAGATAGTTTATACGCTTTTCTAGAAAGCCGCAAGACTCAGTGAAAAGC